GAAGAATGGATAAGTGACCTGGAAGACAGAATGGTGGAATTCACTGCCGTGGAACAGAATAAAGAAAAAAGAATGAAAAGAAATGAAGACAGCCTAGGAGACCTCTGGGACAACATTAAACCTAACAACATTCACATGATAGGGGTCCCAGAAGGAGAAGCGAGAGAAAAAAGACACAAGAAAATATTTGAAGAGAGTATAGTAGAAAACGTCCCTAACATGGGAAAGGAAATAGCCACCCAAGTCCAGGAAGTGCAGTGAGTCTGATACAGGATAAAGCCAAGGAGAAACACGCCAAGACACATAGTAATCAAAATGGCAAAAATTAAAGACATTATTGAAAGCAGCAAGGGAAAAATGACAAATAACATACAAGGGAACTCCCATAAGGTTAACAACTGGTTTCTCAGCAGAAACTCTACAAGCCAGAAGGGAGTGGCATGACATATTTAAAGTGATGAAAGGGAACACCCTACAACCAAGATTACTCTGCCCAACAAGGATCTCATTCAGATTGGAGGGAGAAATCAAAAGCTTTACAGACAAGCAAAAGCTAAGAGAGTTCAGCACCACCAAACCAGCTCTACAACAAATGCTAAAGGAACTTCTGTAAGTGGGAAACACAAGAGAAGAAAAGGACCTACAAAAACAAATGCAAAACAATTTAAAAAATGGTAACAGGAGCATACATATCAATAATTACCTTAAACATGAACGGATTAAATGCTCCAACCAAAAGACACAGGCTCACTGAATGGATACAAAAACAAGACTCATATATGCTGTCTACAAGAGACCCACTTCAGACCTAGGGACACATACAGACTGAAAGTGAGGGGATGGAAAAAGATATTCCATGCAAATGGAAATCAAAAGAAAGCTGGAGTAGCAATACTCATATCAGATAAAATAGACTTTAAAATAAAGAATGTTACAAGAGACAAGGAAGGACACCACGTAATCATCAAGGGATCAACCCAAGAAGAAGATATAACAATTATAAATATATATGCACCCAACATAGGACCACCTCAATACATAAGGCAACCGCTAACAGCTATAAAAGAGGATATAGACAGTAACACAGTATAGTGGGGGAACTTTAACACCTCACTTACACCAATGAACAGATCATCCAAACAGAAATACTAAGGAAACAGAAGCTTTAAATGACACAATAGACCAGATAGATTTAATTGATATTTATAGGACATTCCATCCAAAAACAGCAGATTACACTTTCTTCTCAAGTGCGCATGGAACATTCTCCAGGATAGATCACATCTTGGGTCACAAATCAAGTCTCAGTAAATTTAAGAAAATTGAAATCATATCAAGCATCTTTTCTGACCACAACGCTATGAGATTAGAAATGAATTACAGGGAAAAAAACGTAAAAAACACAAACACGTGGAGGCTAAGCAATACGTTACCAAATAACCAAGAGATCACTGAAGAAATCAAAGAGGAAGTAAAAAAATACCTAGAGACAAATTACAATGAAAACACGATGATCCAAAACCTGTGCGATGCAGCAAAAGCAGTTGTAAGAGGGAAGTTTATAGCTATACAAGCCTACCTCAAGAAACAAGAAAAATCTCAAATAAACAATCTAACCTTACACCTAAAGGAACTAGAGAAAGAACACACAAAGCCCAAAGTTAGTAGAATGAAAGAAATCATAAAGATCAGAGCAGAAATAAATGAAATAGAAACAAAGAAAACAATAGCAAAGATCAATAAAACTAAAAGCGGGTTCTTTGAGCAGATAAACAAAATTGATAAACCTTTAGCCAGACTGATCAAGAAGAAGGAGAGGACTCAAATCAATAAAATTAGAAATGAAAAAGGAGAAGTTACAACAGACACCGCAGATATATAAAGCATCCTAAGAGACTACTACAAGTAACTCTATGCCAATAAAATGGACAACCTAGAAGAAATGGACAAATTCTTAGACAGGTATAACCTTCCAAGGCTGAACCAGGAAGAAATAGAAAATATGAACAGACCAATCACAAGTAATGAAATTGAAACTGTGATTAAAAATCTTCCAACAAACAAAAGTCCAGGACCAGATGGCTTCACAGGTGAATTCTATCAAACATTTAGAGAAGAGCTAACACCCATCCTTCTCAAACTCTTCCAAAAATTGCAGAGGAAGGAACACTCCCAATCTCATTTTATGAGGCCACCATCACCCTGATAGCAAAACCATACAAAGATACTACAAAAAAAGAGAATTACAGACCAGTATCACTCATGAATATAGATGCAAAAATCCTCAACAAAATACTAGCAAACAGAATCCAACAACACATGAAAAAGATTGTACACCATGATAAAGTGGGATTTATCCCAGGCATGCAAGGATTCTTCAATATACACAAATCAATCAATGTAATACACCATATTAACAAATTGAAGGATAAAAACCATATGGTCATCTTAATAGATGCAGAAAAAGCTTTTGACAAAATTCAACACCCATTTATGATAAAAACTCTCCAGAAAGTGGGCATAGAGGGAACCTACCTCAACATAATAAAGGCCATATATGACAAACCCACAGCAAACATCATTCTCAATGGTGAAAAACTGAAAGCATTTCCTCTAAGATCAGAACAAGACAAGGATGTCCACTCTCACCACTATTATTCAGCATAGTTTTGGAAGTCCTAGCCACAGCAGTCAGAGAAGAGAAAGAAATAAAAGGAATACAAGTTGGAAAAGAAGAAGTAAAACTGTCACTGTTTGCAGATTTTATTATACTATACATAGAGAATCCTAAAGATGCCACCAGAAAACTACTAGAGCTGATCAATGAATTTGGTGAAGTTGCAGGGTACAAAATTAATGCACAGAAATCTCTTGCATTCCTATACACTAATAATGAAAAATCTGAAAGGGATATGAAGGAAACACTCCCATTTACCACTGCAACAAAAAGAATAAAATACCTAGGAATAAACCTACCTAGGGAGACAAAAGACCTGTATGCAGAAAACTATAAGACACTGCTGAAAGAAATTAAAGGTGATACAAACAGATGGAGAGATATACCATGTTCTTGGATTGGAGCAATCAATATTGTGAAAATGACTATACTACCCAAAGCAATCTACAGATTCAATGCAATCTCTATGAAATTACCAACGGCATTTTTTACAGAACTGGAACAAAAAAATCTTAAAATTTTTATGGAGACACAAAAGACCCCAAATAGTCAAAGCAATCTTGAGGGAAAAAAACGGAGCTGGAGGAATCAGACTCCCTGACTTCAGACTATACTACAAAGCTACAGTAATCAACACAATATGGTACTGGCACAAAAACAGAGATATAGATCAATGGAACAGGATAGAAAGCCCAGAGATAAACCCATGCACCTGTGGTCAACTAATCTATGACAAAGGAGGCAAGGATATACAATGGAGAAAAGACAGTCTCTTCAATAAGTGGTGGTGGGAAAACTGGACAGCTACATGTAGAAGAATGAAATTAGAACACTCCCAAACACCATACACAAAAGTAAACTCAAAATGGATTAGAGATCTAATTGTAAGATTGGACACTGTAAAACTCTTAGAGGAAAACATAGGAAGAATACTGGGGTTTTTTTTTTTTTTTTTTTTTTGCGGTACACGGGCCTCTCACTGTTGTGGCCTCTCCCGTTGCAGAGCACAGGCTCCGGACATGCAGGCTCGGCGGCCATGGCTCATGGGCCCAACCACTCCACAGCATATGGGATCCTCCCAGACCGGGGCACGAACCCATGTCCTCTGCATTGGCAGGCAGACTCTTAACCACTGCACCACCAGGGAAGCCCAGGAAGAACACTCTTTGATGTAAATCATAGCAAGATCTTTTTTTGATCCCCGTTCTAGAGTAATGGAAATAAAAATAAACAAATGGGACCTACTGAAACTTAAAAGCTTTTGCACAGCAAAGGAAACTACAACGAAGACGAAAAGACAACCCTCAGAATGGCAGAAAATATTTGCAAATGAATCAACAGACAAAGGATTAATCTCGAAAATATATAAACAGCTCATGCAGCTCAATATTAAAAAAAAAAAAAAACCCAATCCCAAAATGGGCAGAAGAACTAGATAGACATTTCTCCAAAGAAGACATACAGATGGCCAAGAAGCACATGAAAAGCTGTTCAACATCACTAATTTTAGAGAAATGCAAATCAAAACTACAATGAGGTATCACCTCACACCAGTTAGAATGGGCATCATCAGAAAATCTACAAACAAATGCTGGAGAGGGTGTGGAGAAACGGGAACCCTCTTACACTGTTGGTGGGAATGTAAATTTATACAGCCACTATGGAGGACAATATGGAGGTTCCTTAAAAAACTAAAAATAGAGCTACCCTATGACCCAGCAATCCCACTACTGGGCATATACCCAGAGAAAGCCATGATTCAAAAAGAGTCATGCACCACAATGTTCATTGCAACACTATTTACAATAGCCAGGTCATGGAAGCAACCTAAATGCCCATCGACAGATGAATGGATAAAGAAGAGGTGGTACATACATACAATGGAATATTACTCAGCCATAAAAAGGAACAAAATTTTAGAGACGTGGATGAATCTAGAGAGTGTCATACAGAATGAAGTAAGTCCGAAAGAGAAAAACAAATGTCGTATATTAATGCATATATGTGGAACCTAGAAAAATGGTACAGATGAACTGATTTGCAGGGCAGAAATTGAGACACAGATGCAGAGAACAAACTTATGGACACCAAGGGGGGAAAGTGGCATTGATATTGGGATTGATACATATATACACTAATATGTATAAAATGGATAACTAATAAGAACCTGCTACATAAAAAAAAAGAAAATTTAAAAAAATCGCATTAAATAAGACATTGGTTTTTCTTTCTTCCTCTAATGAGATTTGTTTGAGTAGGAGTCATCTAATGTAATCATATTTGTTAAACATTCTCTTTGAATTAATCAGCTGGTATTTGTTAGTTCTTTTTCTAGGAAGAGAATTCAAGATCTTTCTAGGCCTAAGAAACAATGGGGAGCCCCAGATAGGTAAGGCAATATTATGTAGTCTTGTGTGTGATGATGTATTCCTTACATTAAGTAGGTAAGTATTATTCTTACCTGTCCACTAACTGGATCCACTGAATCAATATTTTCACCTCAGTTGAGTCAACACATAGAAGGCAAATCCTAGGTCATTGATTCTCAAATTTGACTGCACACTGGAATCACCTGGAAAATTTTAAAACTGACTGATGCTTGAGTCCTGTTCCCAGAAATCCTGACTCATTTGGCCTAGGGTGCAGCATAGGCTTCAGGAGTGTTAAAAGCTCCCCAGATGATTCCAATATGCTGATGGCTAGTGAAAACACAGAGAGAAAAGCTCCCCAGATGATTCCAACCGCTGTCCCAGGGCATTATTCCACACTCACGTGAAACACTTGTGACTATCCTCCAAGTTCAACTTTGTTGCTTCTAACAGCTGGTCCTGCTGTCTCTAAGCCCCTGCCTAGAGCATATCTGTGTTCTAGATTTCCAGCAGGCTGGACCCACTGTCTTTCCACTTTTGGTCACAGGACTCCCCCTTTTCTTTTTTGGCTCCCGAGTGAAGCCTAATTTTTTTTTTCTTTTTTCTGATCTCCTATTGCTTTTTTATTTTTTTAATTAATAGATTTTATTTTTTAAAGCAGTTTTAGATTTACAGAAAAACTCAACAGAAGTACAGAGAAAGTTTCTATATTACCACCCACTAGTTTCCCGTTATTAACATTATTATCTTGCATTAATGTGATACACTTGTTACAATTAATGAATGAATATTGACACATTATTATTCACAAAAGTCTGTAGTTTACATTAGGGTTCACTTTTTGTGTTGTACAGTTCTATGGGTCTTGACAAATGCATAATGTCATATATTCATTGCTACATTATTATACAGAATAGTTTCAGTGCCCTAAAAATTACCTGTGCTCCACTTATAGATCCCTTCCCTCTCTCCCTCTTCTTCAGACCCCTGGTGGCCACTGATCTTTTAACTATATCTATAGTTTTACATTTTCCAGAATGCCATATAATGTTGGAATTGTACAATGTGTAAATTTTTCAGACAGGCTTCTTTCACTTAGAAATATGCATTTAGGGTTCCTCCATGGCTTTCATTTCAGCAGCAATTTCTTTTCAGCATTGAGTAATATTCTGTAGTCTGGATGTACCATAGTTTATCTGTTCACCTACTGAAGGACATGTTGGTTGGTTCTGATTTTTGGCAGTTTTGAATAAAGTTGCTATAAATATTCATATGCAGGTTTTGTGTAGATACAAGTTTTCACCTCATCTGGGTAAATACCTAGGAGTGCAATTACTGGATCATATGGTAAGAATATGATCTTAGCTTTGTCGGAAACTACGAAACTGTCTTCCAGAGTGTCTGCACCATTCCCACCAGCAATGAATGAAAGTTCCTGTTGCTCCACAGTGTCATCAGTGGTTTATATTTTAGCCCTTCTAATAGGTGTGTAGTGCTATCTTATTATTTTAATTTGCAATTCCGTAATGACATGATGATGAGCGTATTACATATGCTTATTTGCCATCTGTATATTGTCTTTTGTAAAGTGTCTATTCAGATCTTTTGCCCACTGATCAGGTTGTTTTCTTATTGTTGAATTTTAAGAGTTCTTTGTATATTTTGAATACCAGTACTTTATCAGATGATATAGACTGAATGTTTATGTCCCCTTAAAATTTATATGTTGAAATCCCAACCCCCAGTGTGATGGTATTTGGAGGTGGGGCCTTTGGGAGTTGATTGGGTCTGACCACCTGGCACAGTGCTTTACCCAAACTGGGAGCACAGTGTAGATAAGTGGCATGCCCATTTTTTGCTGACCTGACTATAAATTACAGTGTTAACTACATGTTGGCAGAAATAGAACTATCTCTAATAGGTTCATTTTTGGTCAGCATCTTTTAAGATAGTAGATACAACAGTCTTGTTCTTACTTCCATAAGTAGTTTATTCAGCTTCTGATGTCTGGAAACTGTAAAATTTTGTAATAGAGATAGTTCTTGAAGTGAAGTAAAATTAGTAGAGAAGACATCAAGAGCCTTTTCTAAGATGCCAATTAGCAGTGAATTTCTTACCATTATATTTTTCTGCTTTTTAACAGAAAACTGTTTTGGGGAAATCAAGATCCTATTCGCCCTGTTTCCCGGAATGCTTTGAAGGCTCAACTGACCAAAAGACTTGAGAACCTTGCCCAGCCTAAGGAAGTCTCCCACGAATATGTACCTAACAGGTTAGTATTTGTGTGTTATCAGGAACACAAATTTATTGGGGATTAGGGATTCTATATCTGTTTCCAATCTGATGCTACAGTAAAACTTTTCCAGAGCAACATCTAATATTTAGCTGTTGCAGACTTGTATTATATTTTATAGTGTCTTGGCTTATCACAAGTTTGATTTTTAAATAAAATAAGGTAGTATGCAAGGATATGTACCATATATAACACTGTTGTGGGTGAACTTATTTGTGCATGAAACTGTGAATTTTGTATACCACCCATGGGCATGGTTACCATAAGTTAATTAGGGCATCTAAAGGTAATAATGTTAAGACTTTTGACGCCCATTGCAAATTTGTTTTTGGTGCATGTTTGTTGAATGACTGGACTTTCTGCTGGTTGACTCTTTGAGGAAAGATGGTGAGGTGTAGGGAAGATGGGTACAGGCAGTGAGGGAGTTTAAAGTAAAGAAAAAAGTGAAGATGCTATTATTTATCTGAAATTTGGTTTCCATGATAATTGAGGTAGCCATTTCTCTCCTCTTTCAATATACAACTTTAGTCAAAAGTCAGCAAACTTTTTCTGGAAGGGGCCAGATATAAAGTTGGCCATTAAATATCTGCAGCAACTACTCAACTCTGGGAAAGCAGGTACAGACATATGTAAACCGAGAATGCCTGTGTTCCAATAAAATTTTAGAATTTTTGCATCTGTGTTCATGAGGGATATTGGTCTGTAGTTTTCTTGTAATATCTTTGTTTTTTGTAATGTCTTTGTTTATGGCAATGCTGTCCTCATAGAATCAATCGGAAAATGTATAGAATTGGTATTTATTACTTCTTCTCTGTGGGCTCCAATTACACATTAGGCTGCTTGGGTTTGTCCTACAGCTCATTGAATCTGTTCTCTTTCCCTCTCTTTCTGTTTTATTTCTCTCTGTGTTTCCACTAGCCATTTTCTCTGTAGTATATAATATACTATGAATCCTATCCAGGGTAATTTTTATTTCATGTGTCATAGTTTTTATCACTAGAAGTTCAATTTGGCTATTTTTTATATCTTATCTCTACTTGCTCAATTTTTTAATCTCCTTGCCTACTAATTCTATACTATGTCATTTGTGGGTCTGTTTCTAGGAATTGATTTTTCTCATTATTGGTAATAATTTGCTGCTTTTATATGTTTGCTGCTTTTTTTATATGTGGGAAATGCTTATGCTATAATATTAAGTGAAAAAATTAAATAGAAAACTGTATTATGATATGATCCTCTTTTTATTTTTAATAATGTTTATTCATCAAACATGTCATGATCTTTACCATCTCAAGACCTTATTCATATTTCTCCCTCTGCCTGCAATGCTTACAATGACTAAGACTTTCTGGTCCTTAGGTCTCAGCATAGGTCTCAGCTTTTCAGAGGGACTTTCCTGACTGCTTTCCTCCACATAACATTCCACCTCCTCACAAACCTACTCGGAAAGCCTCTATCTCTGTTGCATAGCCAGTGCCCTTCATAGCACTTATCACAACTATCTACCGAATTTTTGCTATTCTCCTCCCAACATAGAGAAGAAGCTCCAAGAAAGTAGTGATTTTGTGTCTGTCTTACTTTCTGCTCTCTCCTTAGTGCCTAATAGTGCTTGGTGCTCAATAAGTATTGAGTGTATGAGTCAGGAAATATTTTTCCAAAGTATTGTTGTCTCTGAATGGCAGGATAATATATGCTTTTTGTTTTTCTCTCTTAAACTTTTCTTGCTCTTACAAAGTTTCTATAATGAATATTTATCTCTTTTACAATGAGAAAAATGCAGAGTACTCTATATTAAAATAATATTTGAGTACCTGCTACATTGATGGAATGGTGAGACGTGGGTGTGTAAATGACTACAAGACAGGAGAAGCACCTAAAGGCAGCAGCTATACATTCTATTAATATACAGTATCTATAAGCAGAAAAGATATGTACACATGAAACTTAGAATTAATATACAAGTTAGTAATAAAATTTTATTTGAATAGTGCTTTGTAACTTAATTAAATGACTTATATTCTCTTATTTAATCTTCATAACCACCATAAGATGTATTATTTTCTCCATCTTCTAGAATGCTTATGTACTTCTGGTTGTTGGCAGAGTAAGGCATAAGTATTATGGTTTGGTGTTAGCCACTCCCACCTCAGAGAATGTTGAATAATTGAGTTATGTCTCTGGTGTCCTCCCATCTTTCTTCTTCTTCTTTTTTTTGTTTGTTTGTTTTATTTGCTTCTTGGACTTCTACCCTTTGCCCTACTCTCCAAGAGCATCTTTCTTTTGTGCTGCTCACTACTTCCTTCCACCCACTGTGCCCTCCTTTCTTGGGTCTGATCTCTTCCAAATGCCCCCCTGTTCAAAATCACCTCTTCCTTCTCTGTCTCCAATTCCCAAACTGAACTCCCAGTTCCTGCAAAAGGCAAATCCCAGGTAAGTGCTGGAGGTTCTCTGCCTGTCAGAGCTTGGCTGTGTATGTGGGTGGCAGTGGCTGAGTCAGCTCTGTCAGGCAGTAGAGCCAGGGCTGCATAGTCTCAAGCCCCTTAAAAGCAGATGTGTGATGGTATAGATGGGTCTCAAGTCTGAGTGGTCAAAAGCAAGGGAAATACAGGCTTAAACCCAGACCAAGGCTTATATTAGCAACCAGCAGACAGAAGCCTGGGCAGATGAACGCAGAGCCATATCTATGAATGTCCTAAAGGAGCAGAGGTCCTTTGGAAAATAATAGAAGCAGGAGTGGGACTACGATCTAAATTAACGCCAGGTTAAAGTAGTCAATATCACTTCTTTTTCCACTAATGATAATATTTTGATAAAGGAAAGATTGAAGGGCAGGAGTGATAAGAAGAACAATATTATTATCTTAAATAAAATCTTAATAAACAGAGCCTGATAATGATTAAATAATCTACAAACCATGATCAAGTAGCATTTATTCCTAAGCTCAGAGGTCTTTAACATAAAGAAAAGCATCATGTAATTTATCCTATTAACTAAAAATTTAGTAAAAATATTTAAATTGTCTATATAGATGCTAAAGAAAATATTTTATTTAAAAAGCAGCAAATTTTCTCTTCATCAGGGTAATTTTTGGTCTATTTAGAAAATGAACTTCATTTATTACAGAAAATTGTCTGTTTTAGAATAGGATATTAGAAGACAGCTGAAAACTTGATGGCTTATAACTGTTTCTAATTTCTCCCTATGTAGAAAATAGCTCAGCAGCGAAGGGATAAACTGTCATACCCACTCCCCTAGACCTGGGGGATGGGGGTCAGTGTTGGAAATTACTATGGTAATTTGAATTCATGTCTGTTTCGTTCACTTCTTTTCTCTTTTACAACTTGCAGGGTTCAGTATTATTACAGCTGCGGTAGAGAGTCTGTAATCTGGGAGATCCCTTCTCCTGCACTGCTTGGCCAACCTTCCAAAAGGATCCAGAAGCTGGCACAGCCCAACAGATTCAAGAAAGGGTATCTAATAAATAGGTAAAGTACCTTGAGAATCTCCATAAATTCTCATCTAATTTGGTGAATGTCACAATATTGTTGTTCTAATTTTAGTGTCTGCAATTTCATAAAATAGAAGTCCACTTGTGTTTCAAAGCATCAGGGTGAAAAATCAAATATTTGCAGCAATTGTGGGTAATCAGAAGATCATCATCAATAATTACATTTGACTCAAATTGTAGTGAAGCTAAAATTCACACTAAACTTACCGCTGTCAGCCAATTTAAAAATATGCAAATGAAACATTACAGGTTTTTTCAATTCATGTTCTCTTACGCCTCTGTGACTGCAAATGCTCTTCTTTCTGCTTTAAATTCTGAAATTCTCCTTGTCTTTAAAAGACAGATTAGGAAATTCCCTGGTGGTCCACTGGTTAGGACTTCATGCTCTCACTGCTGAGGGCCTGGGTTCAATCCCTGCTGGGGGAACTAAAATGCCATAAGCCATGCAGCATGGCCAAAGAAAAGAAGAGCTTAGGTGTTACTTTCCACATGGGAGTTAAGATTATGATAAGGTTATTGGAAAAAATGTTAGGTTGCGTTAGTGGAATATGTACACTGGACACGTTCCACCAAGTGTGGAGTGTGATAGTACTACTGTACACTACTTTAATCAGAACACATTACATATATGTGTCCACTTATGGATGTTATACCTGAAGAAACTGATAATAAATTTGAGGCTATTCAGAGGTGACGAATGAGATGTTGATTCTTCTGGAAGCTGTTATATGAACAATAGTTAAGAGAAATAATATGTTTAGCTTAGAGAAGACACCTAAGTAGCAGTGATAGCTATGTTTCAAGGGTCAGCATCTGAAAGAGAAAAGGGAAGTCAAAGTAAAATTACTTAGAACTAGAAGTAGAAGAAGGAATTTACAGAGCAGCTGATGTCAGCTAAGTGTAGAAAAATCTTTCTGGTAGCTATGCAGTAATGGAGGCGTTTATTTAGAAAGGTCAACTGCCAACTCCACCCAAATCCCTGAAAATGTTCAAGCACAAACTGGAATGATGACTGTACATGGATTTTAGAAAAGATTCCTGTATTCAGGCATAGGTTGAACTGGACAACTTGAGTCTTTTTCCATCATAGAATCCAGCAAAAGTGGCCCAATTCCTCCACAAAATTTGCTTATTTGTCAGTTTATTAAATAAAATCTGTTAAGTTAGTTAAAATATGCATGTAAATCTGGTAAAGATCTGTATCTGTAAACTAGAAGAATACTTTAATTATCTGTTACCAATTTTTGAGACATCTGAAATTGACATTTCATATAAGTGAAACCCCCTTGAGTGCTAAAACTTCCTGTATTTTTAGAAGTTTGTTTCCCTGCTTTCCTAAGGAGATTCTTTTGATACTGAACATACATGTAACCTTTTTCCATTGGCTTGAGATATTTATTATGAATATCAACTATCACATAATGATTTAATTTGGTAAACCTCTCAGAAAGTGTTTAAGTATGAAGCACATTGCTTAGGCTAAGTGGTCTGACCTCTTTAGATTATGATATTCACTTTTCATAGCTTTCCTGTCATTTCTCTTTTTATTGGGAGAATAGTCTGTAAGTAGCCTCTTTTCTGATCTTTTGTGCTCTGGAAACAGATAACCAAGCTTGTTCAGAATTGTATGAGGGGGAAAATGCAAGTGCTTAATGAAGACACACAGGGTTGTCCAATAAATGTACTACATGAGCCTGGACTTTGTGACATATATTTTAGCTGATTCACTAGAGGGCTCAACAGTAGATTTGAGCAGTCAGAAGAAAGAATCAGCAAACTTAAAGATAGGTCAGTGAAGATGATCAAGTCTGACGAACAGAAAGAAAAAAGAATAAAATAAAATAAACAAAGCCTCAAAGCCCTGTAAGACAGCATCAAGGGTATTAACATATTGATAATGGGAATTTCATAAAGAGAGTAGAGAGATAAAGGGGCAGAAGGAATATTTAAAGAAACAATCGCCAAAAGCTTCCCAGCTTAGATGAAAAACAACCTTCACATCCAGGTAACTCAACAAACTCCAAGTGTGATATACTCAAAAAGATCTACAACCTGACGCATCATAATCAAACTGTCCACCATCAAAGACAAAGAGAGAATCTTGAAAGCAGCAAGAGAAGTGACTCATCATATGCAAAGGATCTGCAATAAGATTAACAGGTGACCTCTCATCAGAAACCATAGAGGCCAGAAGGCAGTGGCATGACATATTTAAAGCACTGAAAGAAAAATACTGTCAGCCAAGAATACTCTAGCTAACAAAATTATCCTTCAAAAATAAAAGAAATTAAGACATTTCCAATTAAACAAAAACTGAGAAAATTCATCACAGCAGACCTGCTTTACAGTAAATACTAAAGGGAGTCCTTCAGGCTAAAATGAAAGGACACTAGACAATAACTTGAATCCACATGAAATAAAGAAATAAAATTGAGTTAACTACATAGGTAAACATAAAAGATAGTATACATGTATTTTTCTGTTTGTAACCCTTTTATTCTCCTACATAATTTAAAGGACAGCTGCATAGGACTTCCCTGGCAGTCCAGTGGTTAAGACTCCATGCTCCCAATGCAGGGGGCGCAGGTTCATTCCCTGATCAGGGGATGAATATCCCACATGCCGCGTGGCATGGGCAAAAAAAAAAAAGACAACTGCATAAAGCAATAATTATAAATCTGTGTTGATGGACATACAATGTATTAAAAAACAGCCCAAAGAAGGGAGGGAATGGAGTGATATTAATCTGAATTAGATTGTTATAAGTTAAGATATACAGGGTAACAACTAAGAAAATAATTTTTAAAATATAGTACAAGAAATAACAAGGAATTTAAAGGGTACACTAGAAAATATCTAACATGGAAGAAGGGAGGAATGGAGGAATAGAGGAATAAAAAGATGTAACATGTGAAAAACAAAAGCAAAATGGCAAGCATAAATTCCATGTTATGAGTAATTGCATTAAATGCAAATGAACTGTCCAATCAAAAGGCAGGGATTGACAGAATGGTTTAAAAGAATGTACTCAGTAGTATGCTGTCTATAAGACACATACTTTAGATTCAAAGAAATATATAAGCTGAAAGGAAAAGGACGAAAAAAGATATACTATGAAAACTAACTGAAGTGAGTGGATATACTCATATTGGACAATTAGACTTTAAGACAAAGAAGGACATTTTATAGTAATGAAATGGTCAATCCATTAGAGGACTATAACAATTATAAACGTATATATACCTAACAACAAGAACCCAAAATAGATGAAGCAAAACCTGGTAGAATTGAAAAGAGAAATAGATAATTCAACAAGTTCAGTTTTTCAATACTGTACTTTCAATAATAGAAAGAATAACAAGCAGAAGATCAACAAGGAAATAGAAGGCTTGAACAATACTATAAACCAAAAATATCTAATTGACATTTATAGGACACTATACCCAACAATAGCAGAACACACATTCTTCTCAAGTGCACATGGAATATTCTCTAGGATAGATCATGTATTAGGTCATAAAACAAATGTCAATAAATTTATAAGAATTGAATTCATACAAAATCTGTTCTCTGACCACAATGATGAAATTAGGAACCAATAGCAGAAGAAAAAATTTAAATATGTGTAATTAAATACACTCCTAAACAAACAATGGGTCAAAGAATAACTCACTTTGATATTAATAAAATGAAAACAGTATACCAAAACTTATGAGATACAGCTAAGGTAGTGATTAGTGGGAAATTTTAGCTGAAGATACCTACATAAAAAATAAAAAAGATTGCAAATTGTAACCTAATCTTCCATCTTAAGAGATTACAAATGGAAAAGCAAACTAATTCAAACAAGCAGAAAGAAGGAAATTATAAAGATTAGTGTGGAAATGAATAGAAACCAGAAAGACAGAGAAAATCAACAAAACTGAAAGTTGGCTCTTTGAAAAGATCAACAAAACAAACCTTTGGCTAGACTTATCAAGACAACAAGACAGAAGGCTCAAATTACTAAAATCATGACAGAAAGAAGGGACCTTTCTAAGGAATCATTTGCAAAAGAAGGGTTGCAAATTGATCTTATATAGAGAAAAAAGTATTATAAGGGATTACTATGAGCAATTGTAAGGCCAACAGATTAGATAACATAAACGAAATGGACAAATTCCTAGAAAGACAAACCACTGAAACTGACTGAATAATAGAAAATCTCACCAGACCCATAACAAATAAAGAGATTTAATCAATACTTTTTAAAAACTTCCTATGAACAGCTCAGGAACAGATGCCTTCATTGATGAATTCAATGATATGCTTAGAGAAGCCCTAGACCAATCCTGCAGATTCTTCCAAAAGGTAGGTCACTTCCCAACTCATTCCATGAGGTCCATGTTACCCTGATACCAAACCAAAAAACGTTTGTAATGACAAGAGAAGAAAATGACAGACAATATCTCTTATGAATATATGTGTAACAATTCATACCAAAATACTACCAAACCAAATCCAAATATACATGCAGCAATCCACACCAAAATACTACCAAAGCATATCAAACAATATATAAAAATAATTATGCACCATGACCAAGTTGGATTTATTCTAGGAATACAAGAATATGTTGAGTTCAACATACTAAAATCAATGTAATACACCAAATTAATAGAATAAAAAACCCCAAAACTACATGATTACCTGAATAGACTCAGAAAAAGCACTTAACAAAATTTAACACGTATCATACTCCACAAACTAGGTAGAGAAGTGAACTTCCTCAGCTTGATAAAGGGCATCTACAAAGAGCCCACAGCTATCATCATAATTAGTGGTGAAAGACTAAAACCTTTCACCCTAAGATCAGGAATAAGACAAGAACATCAGCTCTCACCACTTCTATTCAACATCATACTAGAGGTTTGAGTCAGGGCAGTTAGGCAAGAGAAAGAAATAAAGCTATTCAGGTTGTAAAGGAAGAAGTATTGATAACTCTCTACTCATAGATGACATGATCTTATATATAGAAAACCTCAGGGAATCCACATGAAAACGATTAGAGCTAATAAATTAGTTCAGGAAGGCACAGAATCCAAGATCAATATACAAAAATCAATTGTATATCTATCCACTAGCAATGAACAATCTGAAAATAAAATTAAGAAACAGTTCCATTTACAGCAACGTCAAAAAGCACAAAACAATACGTGCAATGGAATATTAGCCTTAAAAAGGAAGAAAATTCTGACAAATGCTACAACATGGATGAACCTTGAGGACATTATGCTAAATGAAATAAGCCAGTCACAAGAAACCAAATACTGTATGACTCCACTTATACACAGTACCAACTGTAGTCAAATTCATACACAGAAAGTAAGATGGTGGTTTTCAGGGGCTAGGGGGTGGGGAGAATGAGGAGTTGTTTATGGGTATAGAGATTTGCATGACAAAAATTGTTCTGGAGGTTGGTTGCACAACGATGTGAATACATTTAATGCTACTGTACTATACACTGAAAAATGGTGAAGATGGTAAATTTTATGTTATATATATTTTAATATAATTAAAAATAAAAGAACAAAATACTGAGGAATAAACTTAACAAAAGAAGTGCAATGTACGTACACAGAAAGCTACAAACATTGTTGAAAGAAATTGAAGATTTAAATACATAGAAAGACATTCTCTGTTCATGGATTAGAAGTCTTAATTTTGTTATGATGACACTTCTCACCAAATTGATCGACAGATTTAGTACAATCCCTATTAAAAGTCCAGCTCTCCTTTTTGGGTAGAAATTGACAAGATGATTCTAAAATTCATATAGAAATGCAAGAGACCTAGAATAGCAAAAACAATCTTGAAAAAGAATAACAAAGTTGGAAGACTTACAGCTTCTGATTTGAAAACTTACTAAAAAGCTACAGTAATCAAAACAGTGTTACTGGCATAAGAATAGACATATAGATCAATGGAATAGAATTGAGAGTCCAGAAATAAACCCTTATGGTATATGTCAGTTGATTTTTGACAAGGATGCCTAGACAGTTTAACTGAGGAAGAACAGTCTTTTAAACAAATGGTGCTAGGATAACTGGATATCCACATGCAAAAGAATGAAGTTGAACCCCTACTTCACACCATACACAAAAGTTAATTCAAAATGGATCACAGACCTAAATATGAGAGCTAAAATTATAAAACTCGTAGAAGAAAACATAGGCATATATCTCTATGACCTAAGCAGTGGTTTCTTAGATATGACACCCAAAACACATGTGACAAAAATACAATAAATTGGACTTCATTAAAAGTAAAAACTTTTGTGCATCAAAGGACACTCTCAAGGGAATGAAAAGACAACTCGTAAATTGGGAGAAAATATTTGCAGATCATATATCTGATAAGAGACTAGTATTCAGAATATATACAAAGAATTCTTAATACTGTTCAAAAAAGACAAATAACCCAATTTAAAAAATAAGCAAAGGACTTGAATAGACATTTCTCCACAGAAAATATACAAGGAACAAGAAGCACATGAGAAGATGCTAAATATCATTAGTCATCTTGGAACTGCATGTTAAAACCCTGAGATTCTACCTCACACCTCTAGAATGGCAATAATAATAATAAAGAGAAAATTACTTGGAGAGGATGTGGAGAAATTGAAACCCTCATATATTGCTGGTGGGAATGTAAACTGGTGAAGCTTACGTGGAAAATAGTTTTCCAGGTCCTCAAAATGTTAAACATAGAATTATCATATGATCAGCAACTCCACTCCTAGGCATGTACCCAAGACAGTTGAAAACATATGTTCACACGAAAGCTTGTACATGAATATTCACAGCATCATTCCAAAATAGCCAAAAAGTGGAAGCAACTCAAATGTTCGTCAATGGTTGCATGGATAAACAAAATGTGACAAATCCATATAATGAGATATTATTCAACCATAAAAGGAAAGACATACTCATACATGATTCTTAAAAATATGCCAAGTGAAGGAAGCTAGACACAAAACGTGACTTATTTGTATGAGTCCATGTATTTGAAATTTCCAGAATAGGCAGATTCATAGAGATAGAAAGTAGATTACTAGTTCCTAGTGGTGGGGAGGGGCTGGGGAGGGGGTAATAGGATGGGATTTTAATTGGTATAGGATTTCTCTTTAGGGTGTTGAAAACATTCTGAATTTAGGTAGTGGTGATGGTTGCACAATTTTGTGAATATTCTAGAAAGCATAGAATTGTACACTTTAAAAGGGTAACTTCTACGGTATGTTAACTATATATCAAGTTTTAAAACTAACAGACTACCCCTAGAGGGTAATCATATTTATTTGAGAAAACCTTTTTCCATATTAGGTTTGTAGGTTTGTTGGTTGATAGGTTTCTGTTCTGGGAAAGGAGTATGTGGGGAAACCACCTATGATGATCCGCCAGGTTGCTGGGAGTTATGTCCAGCACTATCTCAAACTGCACTGCAGAGGAGACTGGCCATCACAGAGGGTTCTTGGTAGTGACTGGAATTTTTATCTCAGGGTTTTAATAGGAGGTTTTGGTAGGAAGTGAGGTGTTTTTTAAACTGCAAGTCTCAACCTATCAGTGGATCATGAAATCAATTCCAGTTGTTGTTTTTATGAAATCAAATGAAAATTTAAAAATCAGAATGCATTGCCTAGGGAAAGCATCGTTTCATGATCATTTTGTTTCAGATACACAGATTTACATATATTGTATCACAATATAAAATGTACTTCTTACTGTGGATCATAGTAAAACAACTTTAAGAAACACCAATCTAGTAGAAAGAACACTAATGATTATGGGAAAAGATGTTCCTAAGATAGAAACAATAAATATAATTGATTGGAGGTTGATTATAGCAATGAAGAATGCAGTTATTGTTCCTCCAGTGATTATAATATTTCATGTTCCATTTGCATATAGGCCCTTCAGTGATTACTTAAGAGATTCTCTTCAAATCTCTGATCCTTCTCCCCGGATATTACAACTCTCAATACCCAAAGTCACAAATCCAAACTATGTTCCTCCAAGAAGCGTAAGTGGGTCCATGTGAAAGAAACAGTTCCTGATGTACTTTGTAACATGTAGCATGTTTGTAACTGTAATGTGCTCCCCTCTTATTTCTAGATGTGTTTTTTCCTTTTCTTCATGTTTATTTTCCCCTCTTATCAAATGAATTTTTCTGACTATCTGCCCTGTGCCTAATGTATCAGTCAGGATTTGATGAGAGAAGCAGAACCACAATGCATATTATAGAATTAACCTTAAGCAATTGTGGGAGCTGATGAGAAGTCTATGGAAGACTGTTACAGCAGCTGGGACTTGGGTCTGGTCATAGATCTAGAAGAAATGAGAGAGACTAGGGGTAGTTCAGCAGTCCCCTAGAAGATATTTACTTCAGGAGAGGCAATTATAGGAGAGTCTTGCCTGTTCAGACAAGGGAGGAAGGGCTGATTCTATTGCTAAGGAAGGCTCAGGTATGTTCAGGGCTTCAAAGCCCCCCCTTCATTGGAATGTGCCCTTATGTTCCGATTCCAATTTTTAAGGTCCAGTTCCTTCTCAATCATTGCCCTAACTTTAATATAGGAGACCATATAAGTTTGGGAATTCAATTTGTGCTGTAATTCATCCACTCACAGAATTAGATTTTGAGCTTGGTTTTGAGAATTTTCAGTCCTGTGACCATTAAAGATAAGGGTTTCTTTTGGGTAAGTCACAAAAACTTTCTGGTCCCTTAACTATGCCTTAAGGTGGGAATTTAAAGGCCTGAGCTGGTAATTTCTTTCCTCAAGTTCTCCAGTGCACTTAGAAGCAATGAGCCCACCTCACTATACCTCTTTATTTCACTAAAATGATCTCTGTCAGCAGCTGCTTGATTACCAAATCTTGCTTTCTGTTTTGTCAGTGCATGCCACGGATTACCAGTGTCTTTTTTTTTTTTTTAAACGACTGGCAATAGGATCATTAATAGCTTTAAATCTAATCTGCTCAGAAAACAAATTCCAGATGGTCTAGAACCAGTACAGGCATACCTCAGAGATATTTTGGGTTCAGTTCTAGACCACCGCAATAAAGCAAATATTGCAATAAAGCAAGTCACACAAACTTTTTGCTTTCCCAGTGCATATGAAGGTTATGTTTACACTACTGTATTCTATTAAATGTGCAATAGCATTATGTCTAAAAAAACAATGTACACACCTTAGTTAAAAAAATACTGCTAAAAAATCTTAACCATCATCAGAACCTTCAGTGAGTTGTAATCTTTTTGCAATAGTAATGTCAAAGATCACTGATCACATATCAGCATAATATAATAAAAATGTAAAAGTTTGAAATATTGTGAGAATATTTCTTTTTTTTTTTAACATCTTTATTGGAGTATAATTGCTTTACAATGGTGTGTTAGTTTCTGCTTTATAACAAAGTGAATCAGTCATACATAAACATATGTTCCCATATGTCTTCCCTCTTGCGTCTCCCTCCCTCCCACCCTCCCTATCCCACCCCTCCAGGCTGTCACAAAGCACCGAGCCAATATCCCTGTGCCATGCGGCTGCTTCCCACTAGCTATCTACCTTACTACGTTTGTTAGTGTGTATATGCCCATGACTCTCTCTCGCCCTGTCACAGCTCACCCTTCCCCCTCCCCATAACCTCAAGTCCGTTCTCTAGGAGGTCTGCGTCTTTATTCCTGCTTTACCCCTAGGTTCTTCATGACATTTTTTTTCTTAAATTCCATATATATGTGTTAGCATACGGTATTTGTCTTTTTCTTTCTGACTTACTTCACTCTGTATGACAGACTCTAGGTCTATCCACCTCATTACAAATAGCTCAATTTCGTTTCTTTTTATGGCTGAGTAATATTCCATTGTATATATGTGCCACATCTTCTTTATCCATTCATCCGATGATGGGCACTTGTGAGAATATTTCTGACACAGAGATACAAAGTGAGCAAATGCTGTTGTGGGGAAATGGTGCCGATAGACTTGCTTGATGCAGGGTTGCCACAAAACTTCAATTTGTGAAAAACGCAGTATCTGCAAAGTACAATAAAACACAGTATGCCTGAACAAAGAACCCATCCTTAAAGTTCTGATCTGGTTATCTGTTGCTTTATACCAAACCACCCCCAAACTTAGTGATTTTAAACAACAGCCAGGGGGGAGGAGTCAAGATGGCGGTGTGGGAAGCTGCGGAGTTAGCTCTCCCCACAACTAGGGCACCTGCTGGCCGCTGGTGCGGGACTCTAACCACCAAGGAGACGGGAGGAATCCCAGAGTGAACCAGTAGGATGTAGGGGGACTGAGGGAGGAGAAGTGGAGGCCAGAGAAGATCGGCACTCCTGAGGCCGGGGAGATCAGGAGAGGCAGGCGGGAGGGACTCTCCGGGAAGAGCGGGAGAGGAGCAGCGGGTGATCACCTGGCCCACTGGGGCCACAGAGCCTGCTGAGCTCCCAAGCTGGTTCCCCCCCTCCAAAGCCCCATCCAGGCCGCGTGGGTCCTGGGGGCATAGGAGGGAGGCCAGGGAGATCAGGAGTGGCAGCGGGGAGGGGCCATCCAGGAGAAGTGGGAGAGGACCAGAGGGTGATTGCCCTGCTCACTGGGGCCTGGGGAGACTGCTGAGCTCCCAGGCCAGTTCCCTGCCCTCCAAGGCCCCCCACCATTGGTCCTGAGGGCATAGGAGGGAGGCCAGGAGATCAGGAGAGGCAGGCGAGAGGGGCCCTCCCGGACCCCAGACCGGAGGAGTGGGAGAGGAGAGGAGGGAGTTTGCCCCGCCCACTCGAGCCCAGGAAGCCTGTTGGGCTCCCAGGTGAGGTCTCCTGCCCTCTGAGACCAGGGGTAGGGGGCACGCCTGGGCCCTTTCTGTTCCTTGAGCCTAATCCCCACCCCCACAGCCCACAGGGCCTTTTTCAGCCCTGTGGTTCCTGAGCATAGGCCCCACCCACCACCCAAAACTTGCCCTTGCTTAGGCCCCGCCCTCAACAGCCAAGGCCTTTCATGACCTCTTTTTTTTTTTCTTTTCTTTTTAGCATTCAGCAAGTATTATTAAAATGAAGGGAGATTTATGGATGACACTTTGTAACAATCAGGAACTGTTGATTAATAAAGTTAGTTCGTTATTCTCCTGAAACCTAGGCAGCAATGAGAATTGTCAGACGGATCATTTTACTCATTATTTTTGATTAATGCACCCAGATTCTCTGACTCTGAAGGGAAAAAAAAAAAACCTCCTCCTCTTTTTCACTATTGTGGTACTAACATACCTTCCGGTTGTTGATTCATCTATTTTTGCATTCTTTCTAACATATCTGTTAGTTTCCTAGTCTAATTTTATGTTTTACTTTGTTATTGTTTGTTTTTTTTTACCACCCCACGTGGCTTGCGGGATTTTTTTTTTTTTTTTTTTTCGGTACGCGGGGCCCTCACTGTTGTGGCCTCTCCCGTTGCGGAGCACAGGCTCCGGACGCACAGGCTCAGCGGCCATGGCTCACGGACCCAGCCGCTCTGCGGCATGTGAGATCTTCCCGGACCGGGGCACGAACCCGTGTCCCCTGCATCGGCAGGCAGACTCTCAACCACTGCGCCACCAGGGAAGCCCAATTCTAGCAGTTTTTGACAGTGACTTTTAAGAGTCCTAAATAATGCTTGATTTGGTTTCCAAACTTAATTAAATACCTTCAAATACTTTATAAATACATTAAATTTGATTTCTTTTTAAAGTATTTTATTTCAACCATCTACATTAACAAAACCTTCTCAAATATTAAATAATTATTAAAAATCTAATACTTTAAACTTATAAATATAGTGAACCTGAAGTTTTTTAACGTTGTAAGAATTGATACTGACTAAGGTTCTTGGACTCTTTAATCAATAGAAATTGATAAGAGGCCAGATGAGAAATTCAGGTGAGGCTTTACTGGGACTCGTGCTATAGCAGGAGGGAGGGAAAACAAGTAACACATGTCCTTGCTCACTCCCTGAGAGGGGGCGAGCTGGTCCCTTAAACAGGGTGAAGATAGGGGCCAATAGGTGGATCGGGCCGGGGGGTGGCATACGTGGTGGGCCCACCCTCTTGGTGGTGCTGGGTACAGGGATCATGCATAGTACCCTACTTTTGCTCCTGGTACCTCAAAAGTGGCAGCTGGGTTTTGGCCTTTTTGTATGTTCTTATTGTTCATAATTTGCCCCAACTGCGCATGCGCGCAGTTCTTTTTAGTCCCTTTTAGTTTATTTGTATTCTGTTGCTCCAGGAGGCATTTGTCAGGGTGGAAGCACTACAGTCAAGGGTCTCAGGTCCCAGCCAGTCTCAGAATGACATAAATTTAAGATTTCAACTTAATGTCATAATTCTAAACAGTTACTCTGTTATATATTTCAAATTGCAATTGTAGTGTTATCACTCTTACAGGCCAAATTCTCTTAAAACATATACCTGCTTTTTATTTATTTATTTTTTTGTGTGGTACGTGGGCCTCTCACTGTTGTGGCCTCTCCCATTGCGGAGCACAGACTCCAGACACGCAGGCCCAGCGGCCATGGCTCACGGGCCCAGCTGCTCCGCAGCATGTGGGACCTTCCCGGACCGGGGCATGAACCCATGTCCCCTGCATCGGCAGGCGGACTCTCAACCACTTCACCACCAGGGAAGCCCCCTGCTTTTTATTTTAATAATATACACTTATTTTTTGTTTTAACAATAATTTCAAATTTACTGAAAATCTGCAAAAGTTAAAGTCCATTGGCTTTATCATTCTCTCTCCTCCGTGGTGTGTGTGTGTGTGTATATTTAATCTTTTCCCTGAATCATTTTTGAAAGTTAATGCCAGACATCATATACCCCTTTTCCTCAGTACTTCAGTGTGTGTTTCCTAACAAGAGGACATTATCTTATATAACTACCATACTGTTATCAAGATCAGGAAATTTAACATTGGTATAATACTATAACTAATCTATGGTCCCTGTTCAAATTTCATCAATTCTTGCACATATTTATTATTAAGACAAAGTATTAATTCTATGA